TTTATTGAGTTCAAAAGAAGAGTTAATTAAATAACGAAATTGTTTTTTAATAAAATCCATTATTACAATTGAACATATTTTAAAATTACCCTCCCGGATAAAAGTATTTGACACAGTGAACTTTTCCCCATGTATGCAAAGTTTTTGTTCCAATTTCTTTTCGCTATTTTTTTATAAAAAAGTAGTTCATATTACAACAAAAAATAAATAAATAAAATGTCTAAACTTTATGCAGAACTCATAAAAATTCAAGGAATTCGCAACCTTTTAAATAAAGTGCAAGTTCCAAGTTGCTAAAAAATCGCTTTGATTTTTGGCAATTTTTTTCCGGCAGTGTCTTTAGTTTTGACATATTATCTTTGTTTTTGTCATAAAATGAGCTATGTTTTTATAAAAAATTGGTTAAAAACTTTGCACGCATGCTGAAAAATTATACTTTTGTCCGTATGTTCTTATAAAAAAAATTAAAAATATTAAAACCAAGAAATCCATTTTACGAATTGCACGCGTTCTTGGCCGTATGTACTTGCAAAGATTTTGTTTGTTTTCATTTTTCCACCTGTCTTCAGCACGCACAAAAAGATTTTGTAGCACACTGTTTATTTCGTGGTATGTTTTTTTGAATATAAGATGGCAAATATCTAAGATAAAAAATATTAATATTAGGCCATATTACTTTCATATATTGCAATTTTCTTACACCACGCACTTCACGCCACGACTCGACTGTTATTGTTAAAATTTGACAAAAAATTATGAAAAAATATTCCGTTAGAAGCAAAGGCAGCTGAAGCAAATGTTTTTTTTATAGCAAAGTAAACGATCAAATTTCAATCCCCAGCATGATCAATTTGTGATTGCCCTACATTGCGTTTTTATATTTTCAATAAATCACTTTTCAAGCCTAAGGGTGAGTCATTTGCGAGTCTTTTTTAGCGCGGAAGCGATTAATCTGTTTTTAATCATCAGATGTGATCGATGAAGACTCAGTAGGGCAATTTTTATTAAAGTAATCTTCCAAATGCTATGTGGGACGAATTCAAAGGTACAAACGATGCATCTGCGGGAAGAATTTTTGAAGACATTAATGCGGAAATACAGATTTATTTGAAAAATCAGAAAACAAAAGTTGTTACGATGTTTTAAAATTTTGGGAGAAAGCTAAAGATTTTCCACTTCTTAGAAGCTTTTTAAGGCAAATTTTATACATAGCAGCTAGCTCAGTAACTATTGATATTGAACGTATACGACTGCTTGGTGATAACCTCTACAAAATAATATTTTTAAACAAAAATATGATCAGGTCATTTTAAAATTACATTGAATTAATGTTTATGGGAATTCTTTTCTATACTCGTAACACATACATATGTACATATATACGTATATCTGACATGTGTAAAAAAACATAATGCATGCGTTCACAACAGGCAAAGCGTTTGGCCATGCCTTTGTAACAATATTTATATGAAATTCTATTTATATAAATAAAGTTTCCATTTGAAAAAAAAAACTAGGCCTTGTGAGCGTGGGACAATTTAACACAACGTGAGTGTGCGTGATCTACAAAACCATCAACGTGAGCGTGCGTGAACGTGGGCGAAAATCACTCACGTGCAAATCTCTAATACACATACTCATTTGGAGAAAGCAGGTGGCAACCCTTTTAAAAAAACAAAGCCTTGTTGAACACCTAATGGCCAAGCACTTTCATTTGACATATTTTTAGTCCAATGAACGGTGTGGATCTTACCTTATGATTTTTCGAACAGGTGACAACCCTTCGAAAAAATAAAACCTTGTTGCCAATTTAAAGGCCACGTGAGTGTGCGTGGTATACAAAACCATCAACGTGAGCGTGCGTGAACGTGAGCGAAAATCACTCACTTGCAAATCTCTAATACATATACTCATTTGGAGAAAGCAGGTGGCAACTCTTTTAAACAAATAAAGCCTTGTTGCACACCTAATGGCCAAGCACTTTCATTTGACATCTTTTTAGTCCAATGAACGGTGTGGATCTTACCTTATGATTTTTCGAACAGGTGGCAACCCTTCGAAAAAATAAAACCTTGTTGCCAATTTAAAGGCCACGCCCTTTCATTTGACTCCTCATTTATAATTGAATGAACATCTGATGTTATTGATAAAAAAAATGAATACTTTATATTTGATTATCGTTTAAAAATGTTCGTATTTAAAAATAATATTTTCATACAAAATTTATTACGCACGTATTTGACTGTTCACATCTGAGTATGTAAATGTAAGTGTACATACGCACCCCAAGCATGCAGAGCGCCGCTCTGAGAGAGGTGACAACACACACATCCATACATAGTACATACATGTTTATCCGTAAAAATCGCGTGCTGTGGTGTTGATGGATATTCAACATTTAAAAGCGAATTTATATGTCTGGGTGTAGCTGAGTGCGCAAAGATGCTTGCCACAAGTTGTTGATATCCGGAGATGGTCGGGTTCGAATTCCACTGCAGGCAACATGCAAATAAAATTTTTTTTTAGCTTTTGTCTTGATTATTCACTTCACGGATGCTTTTTCAGTACGAACGCGGTAATTTTAATATGCGCGTAATTGAATTTAATATTTACCAATATACAGTACTTTCGTTGGCGTTTATAGTAAGATCAATTACGTTTCTATTTGATTTTAATATTTTTTTCCCTCAGTGTACATATTATACAAATGTACATACATACGTATGTATATAAGGTAGTAATTTTTAAAAAATTTTGTAAAAATTTGGTTAAAAGTAGCTGTAAATGTATTTTCGAATAAGCTATCGATTACAATTGGTTTGAAATCGCTTCACTTCATTTCAATTTTATGTTTTTTTTACGCTGCTTGTTGTTTTCGCTGTTGTTGTCGCCCAATTTTGCGAGAAAAGAATAACGGACCTGCGCATTGCGCAACCCCTTATATATAAACCTTGGCGATGGCGAATACCACAGACGATTAAACGATGAGCTGTATAAGTTTTACAACGTCATAGACATATGTAGTGCAGCGAAGTGTATGTCATGCCGTTCGAATACTCCAGCTCTGAAAGTATTCAACGCGGGTCGCGATGCTGGTAATAGAGGAAGAGGAAAGCCTCCCCTCCGTTGGAAAGACCAGGTGAAGAAGGACTTGGATTCACTTGGCATTTCCAATTGGCGTCAGTTGGCACAGAAGAGAAACGACTGGCGTGTGGTTTTGGACTCGGCCAAAAACGCTTAGGCGGTTACAGCGCCATTAAAGAAGAAGAATAACCTTATTATGTATCTCGAACGATAGGCCGCACGAACGATTCGTCTGTAGGCGATATCGTCACGGATTGCAATTTTGTAACTCTGTCGTTCGTCTTCGTCTTGTCTTTACGTCGATTACGTTGCAATCGTCTCATTTACGTTGTATGATGTTGCCGGATGAAATTTTGATGTACTACCAAAGAGTTTTTCTTAGATTTCTAATATTTTCAGCTTATTTCAATGCTTTTTATTTTAAATGGGCAACATCGGAATTGTTTACATTTTGGTTTTGCTTAAAAGTGTTTTGGTTGTGTTGCGGAAAGAAATATAAGGAAAATTAATTTTTAAAAATGTATGCTGCTATAGCGCTAATGGACGTCGAGGAATCCGAAGAAAGGGAAAGGCGGATACAGAGGAGGAGATTGCGAGACCACACCAATGTAATGGAACTTCCTGAGACTGAGTAAGTTCAAGATTAGCGAATAATTTTTGTATGCTACAATGTATTCGTTTCTAGATTTGTTGCAAATTTCCGAATCAATAAAGAAATATTCCAATACATATTAAACGAATTAAAAGAGCACATGGCTCCATCACATAGAAGCACCCACCTATCGCACCAGCTAAAACTCGCGACTTTTTTAAGATTTCTCGCCACCGGCAGTTACCAAAAATCTGTTGGTAACGAAAATATTTCGTCGATGGGGCAGTCAACTGCAGCCAACGTGATCAGGGAATGCCTAAATATTTTTGAGGACCATTTTTGCCAGAAATGGGTGAATTTTAGGAGAAACATCGATGAGGAAAATGCAGTTAAAGAATATTTCTTTGAGAAATACGGAATACCTGGGGTTATTGGTTGTGTTGATGGAACACACGTTCGTATTAAGTCGCCAGGAAGTGACAACCACCATTTATACCTCAACCGCAAGGGTTTTTACAGTCTTAATGTAATGGCGGTAGGTTAATGATTTACTATCTTTACAAGTATACATATACACAAACTGAGTTTCCTTACAGATATGCGATCACAACATGGTAATCACATTTGTTGACGCTAGGCATCCAGGGGCGAATCATGATTCATTTGTTTGGAATGTGAGTCACGCAGAACAGGAGCTAAAATCTGATTATAACAATGGAAAAACCAACACATGGCTACTCGGTAAGTTTTAAAATTTAAAAAGGCTATAAAACTATTACTGACAATGAAAATTTTTGTAGGTGATTCTGGTTACCCCTTGCAGCCATACTTGATGACGCCATTCAGAAGCGCAGCCGATGAAATTCAACGAATTTACAACACAAAGCACTCGAAAGCTCGTAATGTAATTGAGAGATGTTTCGGTGTTTTGAAAAACCGATTTCGATGTATAATTGGCTCGAGAGGGCTACACTATTTACCAGAAAAAGTTACACAAATTGTAAATGTGTGCTGTGCTATTCATAACGTTTGTATATTTTTCAAAATCAAATTCCATTGGAGAGCCATCTGGGCTGGAGAATCTTGTTAGTTACGAAGAAGAACTGGAAAACAGTAACATTTCGAATACAGCTGCCCTTATTAGAATGAGAATAGCAGAGCGTTTGTTATAAACGCAGTTTTATTATAAAGTATATGTGTTTAGAATTCAGGTACACCAGCAAAATTCATTTGTCTTAAAATTAATAAAATATTTACATAAAAATTCAACAAAATATCTTTTCAGTCTTAAATCCTAAATCTACATATAAACTAAGTAAATGCTGATATTTTGTTCACACTTAAATCTAAAAAATATTTACACAAAAAAAAAAAACAAAATATCACTTCAAAACTCTCACAATAGTGGTATGAAAATTAATTCCGGAAATACTCCAAAAATTTTTCAAAAATTTCAGATTGGCGTTCCACTGCAGCAGTTAATTTGTTTGTGGCATCCACCTGCAGCATTGATGCCTCTGCCATTTTTTTTGCAGCCTCAGCCTGCACTTTAGCGGCTTCTGCTTGGACTTTGGCAGATTCAGCCACTGTCTCTTGGAAGGTGCGCTTCCTATTAGTGGAACGTAACGTGTGCGTTGGTGTAGGACGGGTTGTCTGTGTAGTGGGAGTTACTACTCCCACTGGTGGTGGTTGGTTGTGCCTTATAGGAGATTGAAGGGTGGTTGTTTGTTGCCTTCGTTGGTCAAGTGTTGGCGATTCAGTCACAAGTAAAGGAGGCATTTCCTCCAACGACGAATGTCTTGACATGTTAGAGGTCGCCGTCGAAGGAATGCCGAAAACTCTGCCGCTCGGGGCTGCTGACCTCGAAATAAAAACCAGGCTGTCTATGGCCTGCTCCATTTCGGAAAGCGGAGAGTGACGGAATGGGCCACCACCGGTAGCAGTAAGGCTTCGTTTGTTTTCGGCAATCTTCTTTTTTGTCCGGCTTTTCGCCCATATCTTGAAATAAAAATAAAATAAAATTCAATGTCAGTAAAATGGAAATAGTGCGCAAGCATTTATCTACCACATACAATTTATGCACTTATGCTTACTTTCTTCCATTCGACGGCCGTTCTTGTAGGAGGACCATGAGAATTAATTTTCCTCATAATTTCCTCCCACCGCTCCTCTACCCTTCCTCGATCAGATCCAAACACTGCAACACCTCTGGCCAGGTCAGGATTTCTCTCCATTTCTTTTACAAGTACTTCAAATTGAGTGGTTGTAGTTTTTTTCAGCGCTACAAGCATAAATATTAATATATTTCCTAAAACCAAGTTATATTTTTTATTTTCTTACTTTTCCTGGCAGAACCCTCCATCTTAACGATCACTAATAACCTTTCGTCTGTTTTCAACGATTGTCGTCTCACTTTCGTCTTCTATTCGCCTTAAAAAATTCCAAACTAGACGAAAACTACGTAACGATCAGCTGTTTTCGTGCTGCCAGACGATTTCGACTTACATACTACCAACTAACGAATGAAACGTCTGGCAGACGAAACGAACGTTCGCTTCGAGATACATGATTAGGCTGGAAGTTGGCAGATTTCCTAAAATCTTTTGAGTTCGTATCACTGGATTGTTAAACAAATGCTCAAGGCGACCAAATTATAGTACCATTAACACTATCGTACAACAAACACTCTATAGTACATGTTTATGCAATAACAATAACTAGAGTGCCAGTTGCTGTCGAAATTCGACAGTTTTTCTAGTTTTAGAAGCCTTGGAGAGGTTTTCTAACTTAACACGTAGCGATACTTATACGGTACAAATTAACTAACCGTAAAATCTTCTGCTAACACGTAACTAATTTTCTTTTTTTATCAGAGAAGGTCATTGGAGGACTTCGGCAGGACTTGGAATTGACCCGATACATTCAAGTTTATCGATAAATTTCAATGATTTGATACATATCGATAGTTCGATGAATTTCAAGAACACTAAAATTCGATAACTCAACAAAATTCGTTAACTCGACCAATTTCGATAACTGTGAAATTCGATGGCTCGATAAATTTCGATAACTCAAAAATGTAAAAACTTTGGATACCTTTATAAATTTTTACTTTTGACATCTCCACATTTTTCGAAAACTATCTAAACATTTTGATAACTCGTTACACTCTGTTAAGACGATTAAATTCGATAAGCAGTGATAAATCGATAAGCTTATATAACGTTGAAATTTCTATAAATCGATATATTTTGAAAATTCCATAAACTTTGCTTTGTTGAACCAACCAATTTCAGTAGATCAATAATTATAATTATGCATTACGACACCTCGATATATTTCGTTAAGTCTATAAATAATGATAATTCAATAAATATCGATAACTTGATACATTTCTTTAACTTGACAAATTTCGTTAATCCCACACGTTTTTATAGCTCGATAACTATCCGTAAATTTGGACAAGTAAGTTTCTGTGTCTATAAATTTCGACAACTCAGTAAACATTGATCAGTTTGAATAATTCGATACGTTGCGATAACTTAATAAGCATGGATAAATTTCAATAATTATAAACTTCGATGATTCGATAATTTCAGTAACCTTTATGGCTGATTTTATTTCGATTCCTATCTTTTAACCTAATTCTTATGTATTTCTCATTGTCTCCATTTTCGCCTTTATCTCAATTTTCGTCTTTATCTTCACTTTTGTCTTTTTTTTGTCTTCATCGTTATCACTTGTTTCTTCATCTTCATATTTATCTTTATTACAAAGTTTAATTTCAAATACGAAGTAAAACAAAATGCGAAACGCTTGAATTGAACAGGTTGCAAAAACAATCGTTAACAAATATGGAAATTTTTAAACGACGATTTTCAACCAATTTCGAAACTATAAAAACTCTCCTCATCTACAGAAAATTACTTTCCAACGGTGTTTCTGGTTTTGAAATCGGTAACTTTACCTTGGTCTTCATCTTTGTTTTTATCTTTCACATCTTTGCTTATATCCTTTTCTTTTTCTATTCACGTAGATGAGATGAGGTGCGATGACGTGATAAGATGTGACGTGATTTCATGTGATGTGATAGGATGTCATGTCATGTGTTGTCATATCCTCTGATGTCATGTCATACGATGTCATACCATATGATGTCATATCATGTGATGCCACGTCATGTAATGCCATGTCATGTCATACGATGTCATATCATGTGATGTCGTCATGTGATGTCATGCCATATAATGTGATGTCATATCATATAATGTCATGTCACATGATATCGTGTGATGTGATATCATATTATGTGATGCAAAATCATGCGATGTCTCTTCATATCATGTGATAAAATGTGATGTGATGTCATGTAATGTGATCACATTCCATGTTCCGATTAGTGTATCGATAACCCTGTTGATACCGATAACAATATCCATACACATATAGAAAAATACAACAATCATTAGTATCAGTATCACAACAATATATGTAAATGACTAAATCGATAAGAAAATCAATTATTTAATCGATTATTATACCGATAACAATATCCATTATTGTATCGATAACAATATCGATTATTATATTGATTATTATATCGATTACAATAGCGGTTATTTAATCAATAACAGTATCGATAAAAATATCGATTATTTTATCGATAGCAATATCGATTATTATATCGATAAAAATATCGAGTTTTATATCGATAACAATATCGAGTTTTATATCGATGACAATATCGGTCTACATCCTAATCCTTTTCTTCATAGTTATCTTTATTTCTGCATATTCCTCTTCACCTTTACCTTAAAGTGTTTAAATTTACCTTGATCTTTGTTTTTGCCTGTATCTCTAGGCATATTTGTTTTTGTTTTTATTCTCAAACCGCTAACCCGCTGAGAAGCATTTCCATGTGCATTATTCCCCTGGAATTTAACAATTTACTCCCAACCAACCAACTCCCTAAAGAAGTTTCACTTCATAAATTCAAGAAATGTTCTTACCCGCTCAGTTGCCCTAATTCTTATTTATCCGTCAATGTCTCCATTTTCGTCTTTATCTTCACTTTTTTCTTCTTTTTTTTTTATTTCAACGTTATCATTTATTTCTTCATCTTCATATTTATCTTTATTTCAAAGCTTAATTTCAAATGCGAAGTGAAACAACATGCGAAACATCTCAAATTGAACATGTTGCAGCAACATCTATACACAAATCGGAAATGTTTAAACGACGGTTTAGGCCTTAATTTTCAACCAATTTTGAAACCATAAAAACTCTGCTCATCTAGAGAAAAAAGCCTTTCCTATGGTGTTTTTGGTTTTGAAATCGGTTCGGTAGAATCGCCAAACGAACGGAGACAAAATTTATGTTAGCGTATTAATATATAGATTAACAATACTTGTTAAGGCAATTAAAACACTTTAGAAAACTTGCTAACACAATTGATTTCTGTTTTACAACTTAACTTGTAGCTTACTGATTCACAACTGACTTGGTATGCGCTGTAGCAGCGGCCTTATATACTTGCGCTCGCATTCATGGCAACTCTAGAAAATTCTGCCGTCTATCGCACATTCTCTCATTCTCTCGCTGTTCGCAGTATTCATCCACTTAACGTTTCTCGCTGTCGAATATTCTACGTCATTCCTCGAACAGTCTGCCATTTTCTTGTTGTTCGCTTCGCGTTGCCGCAGTATTCGTCATTGTAGTATTATTTGAGTAGGGTTGCCACTTTTTTTTTTAATTATATGATCTTCACCGTTCGTTGGACTAAAATATGAGGTACCAAATGAAACGATATGGTCTCCGGATGTGCAATAACATGTATCGAATGAAACAATTCATTTATGTTTTAATTGTATTGAATTTATTTTACTGAGCAACTCAATGTCGCTTTGTAGGTTCTTTTACAATTGAATTCTTAGCCTAACATATTGGGGTATTTATGGGAAATAATTGCTGCATAAGCATAAATAATATTATAAATAAATTGAAGCTTAAAGTTAGTTTGCTTGACGGTTTGGCACGTGTGCCTGACAATGCGTGAGTTCTATATTCAAAATATTCAAACAACTGAAATATGAAACCCTTGTTGTTATGAATAAATTAAATAATTATAAACGTTAAGCATGGTCGACTTTCAGTTACACTACACCTCCTTTTTTAAAAGAATGCTCATACAGAGTTTATTGTATGAACATTCCTATTTAGCAAGTAATTAAATATAATAATAGTTTATAAATTTATTTAAACTTAAAAAAAATAGTTTTAATGATTATATATCTTAATTCTATTTTTATGTACAATTTGGGTTTTTCCCGTTTTCTTATCAGTTATAGTTACATTATTTTTAAAATCTATATTATTAATTTTAAATGGTCCTTTGTATTGTGGGTCCAATTTGTGCCCTGATTCGTTTTTTAGCAAAACTAAATCACCTATTTTA